ACATAGCTTATTTTCATCTATTATCGAGGAGATGTTTACTTTTGACGCAACGTGACTTATTATCACTAACCGTGTAAGTAAAACGTATTTTTTAACGACGTACGCTCGCACTGTTTACATTGTATTTTGTCGCGTGAAACGATTATGGATTTATCACTCTGATACAGCAAAAATATTAAGAGACGTCCAATCTAGGTCAATCTGAATCTTAAAAAAAAATGATTCAGACGTGCGCTTATTACCTCGGAAGTATCAGTAAATAGACTTTACCGAGTATATCAAGAGATAATCGGGTCTCACCTCTTGAGTTCCTCAGAATACTCGATTTTGTCTCTGATTGAGCTGGACAGACTATACGCCGATTTCTTTCTGTTACCGTTGATCCTGCCGTTCTCCAGATCGAACTTGTACTGTGGAATGTTCTCCATGCTGTCGCAGTGACTGCCACCATGATGCAGGATCGATTTCCGCCTGCCCTGATCTGAATTGTGCTCCGAACTCGCACTGATGCGCCGATGATGCTCGAAGGCAGGATTATCAATTCCAATGACTTGGTCGCTGATCGACACTCGTCTCTTCGCTAGTTCCTCGTTGGGTTTATTCGTCCTTCCGCCCATCTCGATGTCCATTTTTCAAGGTCGATTATTGATCGTTAAAAATTCTCTAGATGTTAGCCGATTGAACAGAAGTTCAGTCGCCTCCTTTATCCGTGTGCTGTATATCTTCTATTTTAATTTTCTTCAATATAAAATGCAAACCGCGCACACGCAAATCAAGTGATCAATCGATCTCTCACCCACCCAATCAGAAGATGACAAATCTCGTAAACAGATTCGTCTCCTCGTATCAAATCCGTCAAACCACGGTACACCTGTCGATATGGATTCACTCGCGCTATTGATTGTAATCGAGAAAGGCTGTAGTCGAGCGCGGTCGCTGAACGTACTATGACTATCACGGATCACGCGTTCGCCACGTTAACGACAATCGTTAACGGATGAGTCTCGTGACAAGATTTTGCCGCGACGGGGACGGGGATGGCAATCAGCGGTCGTCGCTAATGTGTTGCGACGATTGACGTCTTTGACACCTTGGCCCGCTTTTACCAGGTCGTTTTTTCTGCGTGAGTTTCTTCTCCTCGACTACATCCAAGTCGGAGCTTTGCTTTCCTCGTTAACGTTGAAGATAATAAACGTTAGCGTTAACAAGCGCCACTCTTAGGATGGACCGCCATTTGTCCACAAAATCGAACTTTTTCATTGACGGTTTTCATGAGTCACCAAACCGATCAGATCGAATAAGATCAGTTCACGCGCCCGGTTGTTCACGTGGAAATGCGATCTCGATCGCGCTCGGCGCAATTGGTGCAATCGGTGCATCTCGTTTGCGTTTTATGCTTTAGCGTAATTTAGACTTTTAACGGAGTCCCCTTCGACCGGACAAAAAGACGAGTGCCAGTATAGGTCTTCGCGATGGCGCGATTACGATGGCACGGATAACCAGCGACTAAAAGCGGCAATGCGACAGCAAGCGGTGGTGTTTATGCGGATGGGTAGTGGGGCTCGTAAAAAGTGCTCGAACCGTGGACGAATGAGCACGGACAGTCACGGCGGCCTGTGATGATAATTGTCGCGCAATGCACACAGGATGGGCACAGCTGACCACCTCATTGACGAAGCGGCAACGGTCCGCTGCGCTTCTGTCGCAGCTCGCGCCCATGTCTCCCGACACTGCCGAATCCGGCATTGATCGACAGCTCAGGATCTTATCCTCGAAAAATATCACGTACGAAGACACTACTCTCTAAAATCTTTGGAGTGGAATCTAATTCTAGAGAGTGAAGAAGAGCGACAATTGAGCTCGTGTTGAAAAAGAGTGGCTCAGTTGTCAATTTCTAAGAGTGAGATTTCATTCTTTAGAATTAGATTCCACTTCAAAGGTTTTAGAGAGTTGGGACATCTAAAATTGTGTAACTTATACTAGAATATTTTCATATATTTTTGTTTGCGATAGTTTTTGAGAATAAGATTCTCAAATCGAAAGTTTCTATCGTCGCGCGCGTTCCTGAATCCCGCGGAGTCGTTGCGATCGAAAACACGAGGGATAAACCCTCCGGAAAGTTTCGAGCTCTCGAGGTATTAACGATGGATATTGCTCGAGTATCATCTTGTTAGCGTACTAATTTTCATTTGCCCAATACTTCGTTTAAACGCATATGTTGGTAATTTTCGCGGTTTTCCCTCTCCGTTTCGGAGAAGAGTTGCTTGGTACGAGCCCCGCATGAAGCACAGAAAAAGAGGGTGAGAAATTGCCTTAAATTAACCGCGAGTGTCACTAATAATTTACTACATCACACGCTGCATCACTGTCTAATATGTATCAAAGTATTACGAGATTGGAATGGAATTTTTGATCCCGGGCTTATCCCTCGTCAGAACATGTGACAGCTCGAAACGGTCTTTTGTGACAATTTTAACAACGGTCGCTTATTTTAGGCGTTCCTCCGAAATACTGGACAACGATGAAAAACGTGGATATCGTATCGACCTGCTGCATCCGAGCATTTACCTAAATCATAATGGAGCACCTGAACGATACGTGCAATATACAGTTGGAAAATTGTCAAATTGGTTAAATTTAACACATTTCATATATCTCAATGATGCATTCAAATTTTTGTTTTAGTTTAACACAAAATGTATATGTTAAAAAGTAACAGAAATATTATATAAAAAATTAACACAAAAATGTAACACTAACATAATTTGTAAAGCAACCATATTTCTTCATCAAAATTAATAATTTATAATATGTTAAATTAACATATTTTATCTAATTATCTCAGAATTTATGTTCTAAAAAAACATTATTTTTATATTATTTTTTCACTTACTCATAACTTATATTATTTTAATACTAAAAGATATCAATTTAACACGAAATATTCAAGTAACGCAATCATATTATGTTAAATTAACACTCAGATATATTAAAAATTCGACATAAAATTTTAACAAGGACTTGGGTAGATCATTTTTAACACAAATACAGAATGCTTTTTACTGTGTAACGTTTCGCCAGATCATCTATTTCGAAAGCGTCATCGCGACCATGTGCCTCAATTTCGGCCCACACAGTCTCAGTGCTCGCGATCTTCGATCTCTTCCGGGATGATCAGCTATCATGATAAAACTGGAGATCCAAATTAAAGGTTTTAATTGGGACTCGCATTCTTTATTGATTTTTTTCATTTTCCGCAATTGATATTCCTCCTATTTAATTGAAAAAGAGAGAGAGAGAGAGAGGAGGGGAAAAAGCGCGATATATTGTAGGATTATCACAAAACTGGAAAAATTAAGGAAATATCAAAAAAATTGAAAATAATCAGAAAAATCAGAGAAAAATCAGAGAATTTTGCAAAATTGAATGAACAATTAAAATTCTTAGTTTTAAAGAAATTTGACATGCATACGTCACACTTACGTAGTTTTGGACAATCAAACTTAATAATTAAATGAAAGCGGTATCAGCAACATTAATCATGATTTACATTGATAAATTTGTTAAATTGCTCTCTCAATAAAATATTTGACGATCCAAATCAGGATGGAAGTACAAAAAAGTTTCAAAATATTATTGAAAGCGTATCAGGGAAAATCATGAAATTTTGTCTAAAAATCAGAGAAAAGTTATGAAATTTTAGGATGAGGATTTATGACAGTTTTGTATAGGAACGAACACGATTCTTCGATCGTGATCACTCACAAAATGATCTGATTATCCGTGCATCACCGAATGTATGTTCGTCCGACCGACACGATTACCATGCGATTACTCCTTCCTCTGTATCGATGATCCACTCTTCCTAGTCTCGATGATCCACATTATTATCTATTGATCGACCTGCGCATAGTCTCTCTCTTTCTCTCTATCTCTCTCTTTCTTGTCAATATTATTGTCACGCTTCGTTGTCACTTGTTTGGTTGTACGATTGTACGTAACTCCATTTAGAACTCCATCCATCGGAATTCAATTTATGGACGTCTCCAATTCGGACCGATAAAATGAACTTCCGGACTACGCTGATGTTATACAAAACTTTAGTTTCCGAGAATGCAAAGATTGAAATAACGAAGCCACAAGTATTTCGTGAAACAAAGGATTTTTTTTATGTATATTAAATATATTAACATAACATATCATGAATTAACATATAATTGTATAAATGGCAAGTATTTCAGTAATTTACTTTGAGATACGGAAACGTTATTATTTCGCTTCACTTTTACTCGTTAAGCGCTCTGTAAGTTTATGAAGTTTAATTTTACATTAAAAACTGGCGAATTGAATCAGCGAAAGTCGGATGAATAGAATTGAACTCTTAAAGCGTAGGAAATTGCAAATTTCTATTTTAATTTATTTCTCTTCTGGTAGACGGGAAAATACAGAAGGAAGGAGGAGTTCTCGCATAGACGGAGGAGGAAATGAAATATACTGAAGAGATGGTTGGCCGTAGAATACGCGTGCAGAAAACAGGAAGAATTTATAACGGCTCTCCCGTGCTTATATTTATCGACAAAGTTCCATCGTTAACAAGACATCACAATCAAGTTTAATGAACAAAAAGAATGAACAGAGAGTCATAAAATCGTTTAAGAGTGAAAATTTGCCAATAATTAACTTTTAAAAATAAAAAAAGGATATAAATCGTAAATATATGACAAATTTGAGATTCAGTGAAGGTTTTACGTTTTTTTTATCATTTTTTATATCATTATAACGTAACACACACACACGTAATATAATGTTTTTTATACAAAATATTATTATATATATTTTATATTTTTATACATATTACATATATCTTTTTGCAATTCATGTTCTTGAAAAATGTGCGCGAGAAAAGAGATGGAATAATATCCACGTACAATGTGCTGACTAGTTTGTCGAAAGCGTATCTTTTTGTGATAAATGGACAAAATAAATTCACCTTCCTCCTAGCTCCGTTGACACGTCATGAATCAAATTTCTACTAATGATGAAATCGTACGCTTCTCGAACACGCTTGCGGAAGTCGAGCATTGTCGTCCCTCGTTAAAACAGCTAGCGTTCTTATACGGCTCCATACGTCGTGTGTAGATAATGCTCTCGTCTCGTAATCTGCAATACTATTTAACCGATTAACGTGAATAGGTTTATATTTGGTCCTTCGAGTAAATTTCCAGAAGTAAATCTCATAAGAAATTATTATATTATATTAATCTTATTTAAGCAACTGTGCGTATATAATAAGAATGCTAAAAATTATGATTTTCAATTGACAATTGCGCGAACTTCTATTTACGAGATATGTATATTAAAAATGCCATTTTTACTACCTAAGTAATATTTTTAAAAAATTGGTCTTTCAAGTAAATTCTTGCGAATAAATTCCGTAAGTAATGATTACGTCACATTAGTCTTATTTAAGCGTATAATTAGAGCGGTCAAAAAATTATGGTTTTCAAATGGCAACTGCGCAAACTTCTACATAAAATTTATGAGATATATTTATATTAAGAATGCGTCACATTTTTATTCCCTGAATAATATTAGAAAAAATTGATCTTTCATTAAATTAGTCTTTCAATAAATTCTTGTTAACAAATCCCGTAAATAATGATTACATTACATTAGTTTTATTAGCAACTGTGCGTACATTAAGAGCATTCAAAACTTTTAAATTTGAAACGGTAAAATATTTGTGGGATAAAACTTCTAAAATAATTATGAGATATATATTATAAGAATGTGTCATTTATTTATTAGGTGATATTAGAAAAAAATGTCCATTTAAAATACTTTATAAATATTTAAACAATCAGCTGTGCATGCACACACTCTTTTTGTCGAGATAATACAACGCATTTTTCGTGTCATTTATCTGTGCTGCAGCTATTTAAAATGAAGAGATATCCAATGTTTCAATTACCCTACGCAAACTATGCAAAATTTGAGAATGGGAAATTAAAAGCGGTCGTGTTTCGCATAGCTTTTTCATTTGGCCGTGCGGAGAAAATCGCGAAAAATCCAACGATGTGTTTCGTCCGGTGCAGGCGGCGTATCGCGATCCAATGTCGCTTTTACGTCCATCCGTTGTTGGACATTCCGCGGCTGGCGAAGTTACGCGAGAAACGTCTACGTCCCTCAGAACAGAAGAGGTAGGAGGGATGGAAGTGGAGGTTGCACGAGAGGCGAGGTCGAAGATGGGATTGGAATTGCAAATATCCCTCTTCTCCGTCTCTTCGGTCTCTCCAGTCTCACCGATCTATCTCTCCACTTCTCTATCGACCATCCGCTCTGACCCCAGAACGTGTACGAGGTACATATCGCCGAGCATGTTTTAAAGAATCTTCGCTGGACGACAAATCGTCAGATTTCCCAGGATTTAAATTTGTTACGACTAAACCACGCGAATGTGTCATTCGACTTTCTTATCGTTATCCTTGGAGGATAACTTTTTTAAGGCCCATTTTTATCGTTGTAAATTAGATAACTTTAATCTCGATTTAATTTACTATTTTCTAATTCTTAGAACTAGAAGAAGATAAAAAGTAAATTAAATTGAGATTAAAGTTAATCTACATTGGTAAAAGTAAAACATAAGATGGACCAAAGTTTCGTATTGCTTTAAGTTGTATCATTGTATAGCTTTTCTAATAATTTTCTAATAATTTAAAATATGTGATCCAGAGTTTTTTATAACGTTGGATAGTCTGAGTTTGTTTAATATCTACACATTAAATCCCTCTCCTCCAAACATTAAGAGATTTGTTTATTTACATTACGTGCATTTAAATTTGGCACTCTTTTTTTTGTTTGTGGACCTCTCATTTCAGTGAAAAAGATAGGGAAAGTAATGACAAGGCATGAACCAAATGTGAGGACGCGGCGAAGACGAGTTATGCGCGGAAAATGACCGTGCGGTACGCGCTGCGTCAAATTAGCTTAAAAGCTCCAGGGCAACACGGGGTACTATAACGCATTCTGCGACATAGTCCGGCACACAATGTTCAACGCGCACGAAGAGAAGCCCTATTCGCCCTCATATATCACCCGGAGATAAAAGGCTGCCAGACGACGACGGAAAGTATAGTGGTTTCGGCGACACGCCGGATAGGCGGTTCATTGCGCAGCTGCACCCTGTGCCCCGTAATAATTCGGCGGCAGTCTCTTTCCCGCTAAACAATGAAAATATGTCCTTTGAAATGCTTCCGTTCCAATTACAGTTTCACAAAGACGAAACTTTTAACCCTAATATCGCGTGCGAGACGTCTTATAATTTTTAAACGCGTATCTGTGCAAAACAAGATCCTTTTCTTACGATAACCTTTACTTTGATAAGAGTATTACAAAATATTCTTTTTCTCAAATTGTTTGTGAGAAATATTCTTTTTCTGGCAAATGGTTGTTATTTCTTCGGCATGTTAAGATAAATGGAAAATCGTTACGCTTCCGATAGCGCAGTTATTCCAATTCGTAATAATCGAGAGGCGATTCATTTTGAGTTTATACATATAAAACAACGGAAAGAGAGAGAAAGACAGCCGGAAAAGGAGAAAGAGCCAGAGAAATATTGCGCAATTGGCGCAGCCTCCTCCTCTTTCCAATACATCAAAATATATTTTTACACAGCCCCAGCTCATCTTTCTTACATTGCAGGGAGTTTTTATCGAACGCTGATTATCGCTCGTCCCACTTTCGTGGAGCTTTTTACATTCCCGGTAACGCCGATATGACGGTCAAATGTCGTAGTTTTTGCAGTGATTCGGATAATATTGGCAACCTGTAAGAGCGAATGAAAAACCCTCCTATGTTCTCGTTTTTGGATGGACTCGTACATCAATACAGTTCCGTTTTCTTGCCGGCGGAGTTCGAGCACCTCTATCGCTGTATCGACGTTAAACATCTTCTACAAAAGCGTCTTTCGGATACAATAAAGCCTCGAGCGAATCTACTATCCCCGCGATGAATTGCGAATACATGTCCGTAATGGAAATTGCCATAACTGAAATGGAAATTATAATGGCTGTGCGGTTAGTTTACATCGAATACGCGCGACATTTTAGCGTTTATCGTGTCCAAAGTGACGTTGCAAGGTTTCTCCGTCCTCGTTATTATTGCTATATGCATACACCGGTGCACGCAACAAGCATGGAAGTTACCTTTTTCCTTCGTCTTCTTCATTCATAAACTTCGGCACGTACACTCGGCATAAATTCAGTACTGGATTTACCCTTTGATTCTCCTTTCATATTAGAAGCTATCTTCACGTTATGCAAACACGCAAGCCAAATACTGCGTTTACGTTTAAAGGCGTTCGCGAAACTTTGTACCAAATTTACTTAACTAAAATCATTGCTAACCGTACGTTAAATATGCATCGGGAATATGAATAATCGTCCGTTGCATTATTCATATACGCGGCAGATTGTCTGCAGTCACAATTTCAATGTATTTACGGACGAGCAGAATTTTTAAGAAAACTATATTACACGGTAAAAAGAATACGATACAACTTCGATAACACGACTAGAATCTAGGTAAGTAATTCAAGGTGCAGCTGCTGCACCGTTGTACCCATACATAAACATCTCGGCGATAGAGACGAATGCCGGATGGAAGGATAGAAAAGAATTGCGCGTTTCTTCGAATGCTGGTTGGCATCTGGCTGGTTTGCATCTGCGCGTCTAAATATTAAGCACCATAAAATACGATTTGTAATAAAAATTTTAATATAAAGGCATAATTTAAATAAAATAAATATCTGTAAATGCATAATAAATTTTCCAACAATTTTGTCTAGCTATCATCATATACAAAATTTATAACAAAAAGAAATTAGAATTTTCACAATACGAGGGATTACAACTGATATCGGACATGTTTACGGTACTTTCATGAAATCATGTCACATTACAGCGCCGCGGATTCGTAATGCATTTTAATGCATTTCAATTTTCTGCATCTGCTGTTACATAAAAGAAACGGGACGAAGTGAAATGTTTTTTTTTTCATATTACCTCCTACAAAGCATGACGCGACAGATTGCGTTCATCTGTCGTAGGACGAAAGTATAGATCAAAGGTAAAAAAAATATTTTTTGAGTCCGTGCGTAATCCAAGATTCTTGAGAAGTCTTACGGAAAGATTTTCTGTAATCGCAGCTGAACTCTTCAACACTGCTTTAAAAAAAAACAGATGAATTTTAAAATAAAATTACTTAATTTGGATATAATTAGAAAAGTGAAAATATAAGAAAATTGAGAAAAATTAAATCAGATAGTTAAATATATTATTTTAACATTTCTTGTACTTCTCGAATAACTTATTCGTGTTTTTCAAGTTGAGCAAACGTACGTCTCGAACGCGTTATATGATAAATTAATTAGCGTCGTATTTTGTAGCGAACGCAATCGCGACTGATAATCGCCAGAGCGGATTATGTTCCCCAGGATTGTACTGTGACGGATTTCCGCTAATGACTACCGTCGATTATTAGCTCTTGTTATGGCAGTTGTGAAAATTGTCATGGGTAGTAGTACTGTTTCCCGCTCGCATAAATTTCGTACAACCTATGTACACCTCGCTTGCAAATACCGCGCCTCGTAGAGAATCGTGTAAACGAAGAGGAACGAGAGTATTCAAGAAGTTATCAATTATCTCTCTCTTTCCATCGGAGCAGATGTTACCTCTTTCAAAGCTTAAACTTAATCATTTCTAAAAGCTTCGAAGGAAATACACTTCTTCTCGCGCAATATGCAATCTTGAGAAATTAAAAAATTTTTCCAGGAAAAATTAATTCGCCTTCACTAATTATACTTTTTTTTGTTATTTCAGCAAAACGAGTGAGAAATTTAACGAACGGATGATGCGAGCGAAATTAATTTTTGAACGGTTTTTCTAATCATGACTTCAAACGAATTTTTACAATTAAAAATATAAATGATGAGTCCGAATAACATTTTCTTGCGTGACGATCGAATCGTTTGTGTTGTTCGTCGCATAAGTCACGCGTGAGCGATCTCCGCCCCGTTCAATTAGCCCTCGTTATCACGACTTCTCACTCGAGGCAGGAAGGCCGCGATGTGTCGCATGGCACGCTGAGGAGGAGGGATAACATTGACTTAAATGCAGCTGAGATTTTTTTCAACCGCTTGCGGAACACTCGATGCTCTCGTCTTCTCGTGTGCTCGGTCTTACGACGCGGCGCATTGAGATGAGTAATTGTGTCTGATACTACTTCAACTACCACTTGCGACCACGGGGGATTGCCGAGCGAATCCCAGGTGCATCCGAAATATTCCAATCTTCAGAGGATCCCGTCGCGATACTGCGCACGGTGAAATTCGGATAATTGAATAATCGAAACGCTAATCTGGATGAAACGGATCGTCAGGGTCTACTTCGAGCATCAGCATCTCGCAACTGAGTCCCAGCGGAGTTATATGTACGATCCGTTTAATTAATGGATCTATATAGCTCGTATTTTCAAACCCGACCCTCACAAAGACACATACAATTGAAGCATTCTTTGGTTTACAAGAATACTTTAGCCTGCCTACTTCATTTCGTATTTATCTCAGTGTGAAGCTTTTTTCTACGCGTGACATATTCTGCATTATAACTTTATTATAACCGAACGTGTGACATGTGCTGGGCGTAGATCTATAATGTTTAAAAATGTATAAATCGGTAGAAAAAGAACCTTTGAAACTTTAGTTGACCGATACGTTCGCTCACAAACTTAATTAGATAGAATTATATGTGCAGACATATAGCTGTTGAACCGCTAGTCCATACCTTTGCAGATCGATATGAATGGACGCAATTACGTCTCGGAATAGAATTAGCATTCAATTGATCTAATGAATAATACAGAATCACTACAGAATTTAGCATTCAAGCATGTCACATATTCTGTAATTGTCGTGTATTCTGTGTAATATTCGAAATATTTTAATCATAACTTTTATACTTGAATTGAGATAAAATATTCCTTTTATATAATATATGTACTACCGACAAAAAAGTTTAAGACCATTAATTGAAAATATTTACAAAATAAAATCAAACTTATTTATCACATTAAACAATTTAACATATTTTTATTGCTTTACTTATTCATTGTTTCTAATCGTTTTACAATAAAGTACAAAATAATATAAAATATTGGAAGTTCTACAAAAAATACTTTTAACAAATTTTTTTTTAAGAAAGACACTAAGAAATATTAAATACTCTTTTTGTCAAAGTAGCTAATCTTACATTTAACTACATTTTTTCCCATCTTCTAAAATAATCCATATCTCTCTATTTTGAAAAAAAGACTTTAACTGTCTTTTCTTGAAATTAAACAATGTTATATTAATCACAACTGTTAAATATAATGCCTCTTTATTTTCAAATTAAAAATATTAAGTAAGACATATACTGACTTTTAAAGAGTGTTTCACTAAAATATTCTTAAATTTTATATGGTTTTAAACTTTTTAGGGAACATATATACACATATACAAAAATTTCTTTATCTAAATATAACAAAATTGTACACTGAATCAAATTATATATTAAAGTTAATTCATATATTACTTTTTATTTATTTTATTTTATTTACGAATTTTTAAGAAATATAAAGAGTTGCCATTTTTAAACCATTTCGAAGGTGATAATAAACAAAGATAACAATGAAACTAGTCGATATCTTATATTTACAAAAAAAATAAAATAAAATTTGAGATTTGCCTTTGGCAAAGCCAATATAAATAATTTCCCTCATTTCAGAAAACTGAAATGTGAAGGTATCCGCATGAAATTCAATCACTTGGCAACGATAGAGTTTTTACGATTCTATGAAGTAAACAGTTTAACATTTTATGTCATCCCAACGGAATGTCAAACTTTTATTTTCACTGACTCGTGTCATACTATTCCGCCAGTGCGGCGGTTATACACAGTCTATAAAATATTAAAATTTCTTCGACCTGCGAAATATCGCAGTTGAGCCACACTACTCGGGGTACTAATAATAAATAACTTTATTACGCACCTTCATAAGATGAATTGAGCAGTCAAAGTCACGAGTCGAGATGATCACCTATGTGATTTTTTGTTAAATCGTTGTTAACGTAAATTTTCACGTTTGTTGTTTCAAAAGCTTTAACTTACAATTAAATGTCCAATTAGCAGATAGGCTCTATGCGTTTCGAGTACATCTCGCATGTCTGATAATTTTCTGATGTCATTGAAATTACAAGGCCGGTAAACTGTTAAAACTGTTTGTATACTTTGATAAGATAGTTGCGAATTCAAGTCCATCTGGCATCACCGCAAGTGAACGACTGACACGCCGTAGCATGAATTACGACTTATATAACAGCGAATGTTAAGGGCAAGCTTATAGTTCCTATCGATTTCTTAAAGAATGGAAAACGGTTACTGACGTTGACAACCGGTTGGGTGTCAAGGCGCAAACAAAAGCGACTTCCGAGGCAACATGACCTATACAGAGTCGCTTAAAGCACGGCGAGAATAAAGCTAGGTTCACAGTAAAAGGGCACGTCTCTGCAGTGAAGCATCGTGTCAGCACCCATTTATCGCGCAGCACTGTATTTCATCTATAAAACGTGCCCTCACCACCGCCTCCTCTCCATCGTCCCTCGCGAAGTCAACTGACGACACCAGGTAGTATTTCTAAACGAATATAGACAGCGATGAGAGACTGTATTAATGTGCAAAGAACTGAAAGAAAGGCAAACAAGAGGGCGTAGATTACCTGTGTGTGAAATATTACGGAGATGAACTATACTATAAGGAAATAATAATTAAGATATTAAATTCATACCCTCTGTAATTCAAAATAGTTCAAAAAGGAAGAAAGAAAATCAGAAACAAGAATATCTCTAAGTATAATAAAATTTTACGATGAATTATACATAAAGAAATAATAATTGGAAAATTCATATAGATATAACATACTTTATAACTCAAAATCCAGATCGCAATAACGGAGCTTCAAATCTTTCATTTCTGACGTATGTTGACTTTGTTCTACATTATTGCTTTATTTTCTCTCTCGATAGAAGAGTTGGTTCAATTCAATGTGATTTGTTGGAAAGTCAATCGTTACCACGTCCGTCACGTCCTGCCGCTGCGTTAGTTTTATGTTTGACTTCCGTTATTAAAAGTAAGTTCGGCCGAGATCGTCGGTTTCTCTCGTCGACAATTTCGTCGCCCTTCTCCATGGAAGAAAGTAAACGGACACCTCATTTTAACGCCTCTGTCTACTTAAACCCGCGCCGCTTTTACGCGTAACGTTACCACATTACGACCTTATCGATTTTCTTTCAACCGGGACTAACTCGCGGCTGCCATTTAATCGCAACGGCTGCGTAAAAATAGCATCGGATTATTAATTACGTTTATAAACCGAGATAACCCACATTCGCCCGCGAGAAACGAGAATCTAGCGTCCCGCTATTCTTTCCGCTCTAATACTACCGTGTTGCATGACCGCTCTTCTTCCACACATCCCGATTATTTTGTTCTCTTAACGATCTCCCCTCCGACCCCTTTGGCCGGAATGATTTAATCGTATTATCCACGCGATCCCATTGATGCCGGGCCGACGAGATAGCGCAACGCTCGTTAAACGAAAGATCACGTTACTTTGCCGCTTCATAAAAGAAAGGACGTATTTATTTCTTCGTTTTAAACGCGAGGGAAGAGAACGATCTGCGCACCGTTCGAGAGTGTAACGAGCTTACGCTATCTCTGAAAGAGTGCATGAAAAAAAGAATCCTGGATCATCGCGTTTGGCAAAAAATGTAAAAGGTCACGCATGCAGGTACGTGTCAGCTGTAACGATCAAATAGCTAAACCGATTGAAACGATCTGCACGTTTGCTGTATCCATATCAGTTTGAGTTGATAAAAACGTTCGCTTTTCCACACAAAAAAATTGCTAGCTGGTTAAATCTCGTTTCGAAAAATTTTTCTTCGGCAAAGGCAAAGCTTTATAATTTCTAATATATTAATAAGATTCTCGAAAAGAAGAACAATTTCTCAATTCGAAATTGTATATCAAAATCGCAATATTGTTTTAATGTTGATAAAAACGTTAGCTTTTCCATACGAAAAAAATAGCTAGCTGGTTAAATCTCGTTTCAAAAAATTTTTCTTCGGCAAAGGCAAAGCTTTATAATTTCTAATATATTAATAAGATTCTCGAAAAGAAGAACAATTTCTCAATTCGAAATTGTATATCAAAATCGCAATATTGTTTTAATACTAAAAAGCGCATCAAAGCGCGATTCACTGAATTTTTCAGAGCATCCATTTCGGAGAGATTGAGAATCTTTATTAATAAACGGTTGAAATGTGAATTTCAGTGTCATGTGCAGGTGCCAACATTCAATATCAATATCAATATCAATATCAATATCAAGCTGCCACTTGCTGTAACGGTAAAAGTTATACAGATCCACAACGTACACTTGATCCATTTTTCACCAAAATTGCATTTAACACGAGTGCGCACCGTTAAACCCTTGACGCGTTGGTATAAAACCGTGATAAAATAAATGCGATCGCTTTTTCACGAGTCTCCTTCATCAAAAGAAAATTAAATTGCTTTTCATTACTTGTAGATGGAAAAGCATATGATTTAATAAAACTTAGAAGTTTCGAAGTTTTTTCTCCATCGTGCTCCTCAAGATTGATTTGAGATATTCCTCACGTCTCGCCGTATCGCGAGGAAACTTTTTACTCATATCAGCAATTACTAAACATCCCCCGCATCTCCCACCCTCCGACAAACCGCAGCACCGGTTGCGCTCGCATATATATAGCACACGGTAAATATACATATATACACATAAATATATAGTTATGCACTCGATCTATGTCACTGGTATTGTATAGCATGACTAATTATACTTCAGCCGGCGGCGGATCTCGTTGCGTGGCTTCACGAGTGGCGGAAAGCACCCTATTAAATCTCGAGCCTCGGCCACCCTCTCACGAATAAGGAAGAAAACCGCGAGACGTCAATACGAGTACGCCAGGCGTGAGAAAGGGGTGGTAGGCATTTGTGCACTCTAATCCTCGATCTTCCTACTTTGTTTCACGTGCGCTTCTTCATGCCTTCCTCTCTCCTCCCCCTCCCTCTCTTTCTCTCTCATTCTCTCTCTTTTGTTTCCTCCCTAAAGATTGGTCTAGTCTACTTGGCAACCTCCAAGAACTGCGTCGAGATGCGCGCGCGCGCGCATCATATACTTGCAGTATTTTACATTCTTTCTAGAATGATAGGGTACGTTTGATGAAAACATTCACAGAAAAAGAATTCTATTTTTGATCGAAGTGGAAAATAGCAATGTATTTACAATATTATCTCTAGAAATTTTCTGTGAATACAATTATAAGTGCAAATTAGATCGATGAGAATAATTAATTAAATAAGAGAAAGAAATCTATTTTTTTTATCGAAGCGGATACTTAATAATAATTATATAGATTTCCTACAAATATACATTTTTCAATTCTATAAATTACGCGTCGATTCGGTTGAATTTGAAACGCAATAATAAACTGAAACTAGAAATAGCATTAAAAAAAAGTTACATTGATCGTCAGATAATAATAATGTTAATAAGCATCTTAAAATACTGCAAGAAACTTATTGCGAAAAACATTACCTCAGCCAGGGGTCGAATTTGAAATTTTCGATTTTTCGGGACAAGCGTCTTACCTTAAGTGCCTTAAGACGCTTATTAGTATCATGATTAAGTTAAAAATCAAAGTACGTAATTTGTGATGTTATTTTCGGCTTCAGTTTATGATTGCGTTTCAAATTTAGCAAACCAAATCAACACACAATTTATTGAACTAAAAATGTATTTGCAGTAAATCTGTAGATTTATTGCAAATATAAATATTATTAAGCACTAAAATTCGCTTTGACCAAAATAGGATTCTTCCTCTTAATTGATTTATTCTTGTCAGTTTGACTTGCATTTATAATTATTGACAGAAAACTTCTAAAGATACAATATTTGTAATTTTTCGCATTGTTATTTTTCGTTCAGTTTAGATCATCCCGTATAAAGAACGAAACTTTGAATTAATCATTACGATTTTGTTTGTATTGTAATTGCTTCAATAATTAAGGTAAATGTGTCAATTTGTGATCACCTAAGATTTAGTTTTAAAATTATTAATAAAAAGTTATTATAAAATTTTCCTACTTAAAAAATATCGATGTTGCAGCAAAGATGGGACATTATTCTTGCAAATAATAGTAATTAAATTAAGTTTATAGACATTTATTGATAAATTATGACGTATATTCATAGGCATGTCAATTCATCAGTTTGTGACCAGCAAATTTAGCTTATGCACCAATTAGTAACCATCGACCGTCCCGGTTAGTGACCGGTACATCAGATTAACGTATCATTTTGTGACTGAGAACTTTCGCTTTGACCGCGTTAAGTGATCGATTTACTTACTTATTTATAAATCAAATAATCTGCATATAGATTTTCACAAATTTAAAATAGTTAATAACATATCATAAAATAAATTATACATTAAATATATACATAAAATAAATTATATATAAAATAAATTATATACTAATTAATAAATTTATTACAAGATTTATTATATATTGTTATTATTATTATTTTAAATTATGAATTATTTATTATTTTAAATTAAGTATGAATCATTTTTTCATAACAATTTCAGATTTAATCAATAATTGCTTGATTTTCAAATGGAACATCATACTTACGAGTCCGAAGATGAAATGGACACTAATCGGTGCAGCTTGCATGATGCTCCTATAGATCTAACCTACGATGACGACACTGTCACTAACATTTTTTCGCCTTCACTTTTTGAAATCTATTAATTTAATTCTCAACAACACACATTATTCATGGCTGTAGCATTTTTAAAATAACGAAAAGTTATCCCGTCATAAAGCGAATGTAATATTAGGTTGAATCTGAATGATTTCTTTTGAAAGATTACAAATACATGCATGCATGATTCTCAGCACCCATTAGTAAACCCCTTATATATTTAACATACTACTCACCTTTGGTAGAATACGCGTACACGAAATACCACTTAACATTCATAGGTATCGTTCTAAATAATTTGGATTAATATGGTTTTTTCTAGCACCACTACAAATCATACGAAGTGTCTTGCGATAAAGTCAAATCTAACAAAAGAATGGCGTTTACTATGCTCGATCTGCGCTTGGAGGCGACACGCACGCTTATTTTAATTTTAATTGCATCATTAAACCAAAATAATTTTTAAAAACATGTATTAATGCAAAGTATAATAATAGTAGAATATTTAAAAATTTTTTTCGAAACGAAACTGATTCTAAATGTTTTTTATCTAAAATAAATAGACGAACTGGTCACAAATTGATATATGGTCACAAATTGGTACATTTATCTTAATAAAGATTGAAATTTCCTTTAGCTTATAAGACTAAAGAGACGACAGGGAAAGGCATAGGACACACGCAAAATTAAAACGCCATCGGAGAGTTACGTTTTGAATCTTTAAGTATTTATTTAAACAAATCCCAACATTCCAAACATTGATAGTTGTATATACGTATGGGTGTGTCTTATATGTCTGTGCGCTTTCTATAGACACAAGATAGATTGTGGCAGCGTATCAATTTGCCTTCGGTTATCTATGTTATGTCCATAGTGTCTTCCTTTTCGTTATTTCTGTATGTGTATTCACTGTCATGCAAGTATTGCTGTTTGTTTCATCTACAGATTCTTCGATTAAACCGCAGTCAATTTTTTCTCGCAAAAAAAATCTTAACTATAAACTTCTTCGAATTTTTTTACAATTTTATAAATGTATTGAGGAATAAAGTTTTCTGCATTAATTAACAATTTTGCAAATTAGCGTCTTGATTCGTTAAAAATCATTCATTTTTTATTGTTTCCTTCTGAAGAATGATTTAACCCTTTATAACTGACATTTTTTGCTTATAAAAAGAATTGCACAAGCGATAAATGAAAAACATTGATTATGTGATATAATTAATTATTGAATCTTCATTTATAAACATTTCACTATAAAAGAACTATTTGTAACGTTGAAGTAACAATGAGTAATAATATACATAAAACTTGCATACCTGTAATGTATCTTTATTGAGTATGGAAGTCCACAATGATGCAGAGTGATAAACTAATGAAATAACACTTTTAAAAAATATAAATATATAGATACGTAACTTTCAAATTACCTGATGTTATAAAGAGTTAAATATTCCAGTCGAGAAAAGAAGTCGGTTGACTGAAGAATTTGCAGACGAAAGGAACGGTGACAGTGAAGAGTTCTCACAAGGTTCAATTTTAGCCGCACAAACGACATGAAGTCCCCTTAGTTACGATGCAAATGAAGCTAACTTGACAATCCAAATTCGTATTCAAAATCAACGAACAACTGTTTATTATCCCAACGTTTCGCGAATCGATCGAACAGCTCCCCGATTTTACATAGCGCGATATTCTCTTCATCCCCATCTTTGATGATATACCTTAACATCATCAACATCCTGCCAGTAGACGATAACACACGCGAGTGCGCAATCGAATCAATTATGACAAGTTTCTCCGTGACTAGATTAATTAGGAGTTTAAGTTACTTACGGTGGCCCCTCGCGCGGTTTCTTTCTCCCTCATTTACTCGAAAAGTCTTACGGTCATAGGGGTGCTTACGACGACAGCGCTTATCCGTCTCTGTACTCTGATACTTTTGCGACGGACTTGTTTCCTAGGATTATCAATTCAAGATTCAATTCTTGCCACTTTTCAAATTACATTTCGCCGAAGAGCGTTATGGGTTCCATTGACGAAACGAACCAAGATCAAAACTTGCCTGGCCTCCGAAGAATTCGTATATATTTTATTTTACATACAAAATGTCCGACTTATACTTCGATAACAATTTCTTCGGGAAATTTTGCAACAATATCTAATGCCATCCTTAAAGTATATTTCATAGACTTGAGACTTGGTAAATTTTGATCCTAAACGCCCTTTCAAGCTAATCTTCCATAAAGACAAGCTAAATATACATTTTGATATATATTCTCTTAGACCATTTTATAATAAACAATTTTAATGATTGTTGTAATAAATAACTCTTATCAATAGTACTGAACATATTCGATCAGACTCAAAATACTAATCGTGTATTAGTGGTCGATCGATACGTCTAAGCACCCCAAAGAAAAACATAAAAATTAAGATGGACCCGAATACTTTTCGCCCTCCAACTACCATATTTCCAATATTGCACGAAAACTTACAATATACAGGTGACTCTCAACGACAAATTTAAACTTGTCTTAAATTTTGTTATTACTATCAAGGGGCCGAAAATGAATAATAATTTTTAAATCATTGAAAGAGAAGATGTCTGTGAATAAATGAAAACAAATAAAAATTTAAGTAAGAGTAATGAAAGCGTAACAATAGATTAGCTTTAACCGAATGTGAACTCAAGTTGACATACTACGAATAGTTCAGAGCGCTTATACATGGACCAGTTTCCAATTGGTCGAAAGTAGAAATTTTTACTTAAACACTTTCCTTTTATAGCAGTCATCAAAAAGTTATAGCAAATTTATAACTTTCGGAAACAACGCAACTTTATCCCTCCCCCTACCTTCGGGATATTAAAGTCGAAGAAAACTTGTATCACAATACTTCTTGACAAATGTATACATCGTAAAAATGTCTCGAGTGTATAACGGTGTCGTCTCAATGGAATGCTGAAACTTCGCATATTGAATTCTTTTCGCAAATGCAATTTCACGTTATACAACGGCAATTTTTGAAACAAGTACCGGAGAGTCACCTGTATCCTCTTAAGTACTCCCCGTTGCCATTAAACCATATAACCCTATCTTGTGTCAAATATGTTCTAATTCCTTGCACAAGGCTGCACACACACGCCCAATTACGCTAACGAAAGCCAGCACAGAGTTTTCCTTTCTCCATTATTTCCCCACATCCTCTCTTCTTTTTACCCTTTCCTTTTCATCCCTTCATTCTTCTCGTCTACGTCTCACGCACACTCTCTCGCACGAACATACATGTCAGTAGCTAGTCATTCTCGTCATCTTATGAACCTAAAAGTTGAAGCCCAAGACTACCAATTCCTCAATTAATTCCATTTAGTGTTATGGCAAGATTTCGGGCCTGAATCAGCCCGAGCACCATGACGGACATCGTGTATGCTTGTGGCGAGATATCTTTTGTATTCATTTTATTCCTGAGATTACGTCAATCCCCCGTTTACGCGACACCTGCGCCGCAATGATCGCCGAACCCGACTGAAGAGTCAATGAACTAAGGGTCGGCCGATCCGTGAATTTCAAGCGCCAGACGTTGCCGTCCCTAATGGACGGACGAAGATTCACGTCTCGGATACAAAGGGACCATTACGAACCTCCTGTATGTTCTCTTATGTGTTTGCGTGCCCGTTTGCGCGTTCACCAAATTGTGTTACACGATGTGGATTACCAACCGAAAGACTCGGTACAAAACCCCTCGAAATAAAACACACTATCAACGCTGACTTGTACGTGGGCACACACACGGCACTGTACAACTCCATTCGGAGCAAGTAAAAATTATGTTTCACTTTCTTCAATCGCGCAACGCTACGTACATGGCATTCATTTCTGACAAGAATCATTCGAACAACAAGGATTGTAAGCTTGAACGCGTTTCTGTAGTACTTAACAGTCCGTAATAAGTTCTAAGAACAAGAACAGTTTTGAGAAGAGAATTTATATTAACACGGCCGCCGAACGTTTACGCCAAAGTGATCGCGCTTTCATCTCGCACAAGTTAATCGAACTCAATGAACACGTGAGCGCGAGAATATGCTATTTATCCTCAAACGGAATACAAGGAAGTAATAATCTCACGAGATTATGAGGAACGAAATTCACTTCGACAATGACTTAGAAGAGCGTGACTCTCGCGCTTTGGGAAGATTCCCGATAATAATCAGAATTCAAAGGCGTCCCTCGCCAATACACTTGATCTCTATTAATGCTGTCCTCTCGTCGCACTTCGTTCACAGCGAACCACACCCTCCAACATCAAAGATCTCGAGAGACCGAGATCCCGCACTCTATCACACGGAGATCTCTTGAATTTGCACGCGCTTCTTCGCGCTACCAGGTGTCCCGGGTTGCCGCAGAATCCCAGGGCATGTGAGACCGACGTTTGGTGCCGGGGCCTTGGGCGGGGGCGGTGGTTCCGGCAGCTCCTCGTTATCGTCCTCGCTGTCGTGGTGAAGGCCGCTGATGTTGTTGACATCATCCATCTGGGCGATGGTGGCGTCTACACAAGGCGACGGCGTGCGGGTCCGCTGAATGCACGGACTCTTACTGTAGGATGGCGGTTCCAGGATCCGTTTACCACCGCCAGGCGGCGGTGAGCACTGAAACTCCTGCAACTGCAACTCGAGCTCCTGCACGAGCTTCGCCTTGTGCGGTGGCAGTATCGACGATGGCGAGTCTATCATGCTCATGGAAGACGGTAGTCGCTGTTTACCCGAAGTATCCATGCCGGAGCAACCAGCCTCTAGGAACTCCTCCTTCTTCTTATTGCTAAAAGTGCCCGACAGACTGCCACTGGTTGTGTTCCGGTCGCGCTGATGGTATATCCCCGCGAAGATTAGGATGTTGAGAAGCAGCAAGAATACACCCACTGCGATGGTGACTGTAAGAGCCGTGGTATAGCTCTGATAATGACTAGACGCAAGTTTGCGCAGAAGGTTGTTAGGGCCCGGACCTAGATTCGAGATCTGCAATGTTCGCGAAGTGGTAGGCGTGATGGTCGTCGCGACAGTCGCATTCGGAGTGCATTCCGTAGTCGATAGCACAGTCAGTATCGAGGAGGGTTCCGTGGGCGATGGCATTGGTAACGGAGGTGCTGGTAGAGGCACGGCCGTGCTTTGAGGACGCACCGGGCCCTCGTAGAGGCCGGGGTTCTCCGCGAGATGATGGTGCCGCATATTGAGCTCGTAGCCCGGCCGATGCAGCTGCGGCAGCAGATTCAGCCAGAGGGACATCTTGTGGCCTCTGTAGTGCGAACGCATCTCCGGGCTATGAGCGGCCTCCAAGTACAGCTGATTTATGGAATCGTACGAGTCCCAGAACGGCGGACTCGTCGCCAGGCCGTTTTCCAATCCCGAGGACAAAGGACTCGCGCCATTTGGATCCCTAGAACAACGAGTGAACCGCGACTCTTTGACAAATGGATTGAAACTGTCGCGAGGCTTGATATTCTCTCTCGCGCTTTACGTTGCGTTTCTATTTTGTTGAATGTTCAATTTTCAAAAAAATCAATTTCAAAAAGTGCCACATGAAATTCAATACAGTTAATTTTTTTTATACAATTAATTGTAGTGATATCATGATTTATTTAAAATAATTATATAAATATCGTTATAATTTTACAATTTGCAGCAAATTAATTGAAACGTTACTTTTCTAAATTAAAAGCTAAAATTGAGGTCCCCGAAGCGAATACCTCACGCTGCTCTGTGCAATATTTCACCACAGTGCACAGGCAGAATTCCATTGTGAAAATCCGCCGTGTCGATGACAGAGTAATCATCCAGATAGCCGCCGATCCGCAATTAGAGATGCCAAAATCACTTCGCGTCTTTGCCACTAACAAGTCTACTCTAGATTGCGAGCTTTCGCTGAGCGCGTTAACGGCCTTTGCGGGAGTTTGGCTCCAAAATCCTCTCGCAGCTGTAACTTTACCCTTACTACCATTACCAGCCTTCAGACTCCCCTCTTGGAGAGTAATCGAAGTGTATGCGATGCTTAAGTTCTGAAGAACTTTGAACCGGGTGAATTAACGAGAGAGAGGCTCACTTATCCGATTAACCCTTTCATGCCTATACGCCAGTTATTTCACGTCGTAGTGTCACCGATTAATGTTAATCGCATATTTCGATCAACGGAGCGTTAATTAAACGGTACGCGATATTCTCGAAAATGTTCGTCAATTAAATTCGTCGATTAAGATCAAAGAATAAAGAAAGTCTGCAATGTACTTCTATCTAATTTTATGTTTTCTTATCTTTCGCTACTAATGTTTTTTTTCTTTCACTTTATTTTATTTTATTTTGTGTCTTATACTACTTTATTCTTTATATACACTTTTCTTATGTTCTCCGTTATTCTACTTTTCAAATTTTTCCTTTATGCCATTATTCGTTATTGCATGTTCTTAGAAAGCTTGCACTGGAACAACATAGAGTGCAATCAACGTGATGCTACAAATGCTTTAAAACGTTTTTTGATTGGTCAATTTAAAAAGTTTCTTCTTCTAATTGATCAATCAAACGTTTCAAAGCATTTGTAATAAGATTTTGATCGCAGCTATAATAAACTTCTATCTATCTATTTATTTATTTTTATCTATCTATTAATATTTTTATTTTTATTTAAACTGCCTCATCCTTAATGGATGCGGTTAGATATTAATTTCATCACTAGACGCGGAGAATGAAAGAGAAGCGCAAAGGACTTACCCACGCCTCACAAAGTTAGCCAGGTAGTGTACAAGTAGTTTCGACAGATTCTCGTCGGCTGGGGTGTAGTTGCCAAAGGTGGGCACCGCGGACGTGACTTCGCCGCGAAGAAGAGGTATACCCAGGAGATATGGTATCTCGTCGCCTCTCTGGCTCGGCAGTTCACCCGGCTGGAAGTGCAGGAAGTAGCCACGTCCCTCCGAAGCCGAATGCAGTAAGGCCAGTCTGAGGAGCGGCGCGGCGACTTGGCCGTCTCCGAGGAGAGATAAGAGACCCTCGCAGATCGCCACGGGACTCTGCTCGCCACGCTCCCAATCGGTATACTCGTTCCGAAGAGTCGAATAGATTTCATGCAAATGGTACCGGTAGGTGTTCCGGACGTAAGTGCGCAATATACGATCCCTCCTCGTCTCGTTCAAGCCGTTCTGCGAACCGATAAGAATTTCGTCCGTTTTTCCGACACGGAAGAAGCGCACACATGAATATTATGCTTCTTTGCGTTATGAATTTATCACAATTTATTGTGATAATCTCCCGATACCAGCTTTGTACTGTCAATCATTCATGGATAATCGCCGAAAGATCTTACAAATAATCGAATGATATTTCCTGATATTTCTATGTATGGATTATTAATTTGATCACGATCGTAAAACAAGAGCATGCTATCATAGTGCGATATCCAGTGACCGTGACCATCGGAGAGTCAATAATATCCGGAACGATTGGCGAGCACAGACTTGCGATGCAATCATGTGCAGCTCGTCAATTTGTCGAACTATATCCAATCGATGTCAATTACATATTATGCGTGAAGTGTCCGGTCATTAATCAAGGAATTACTTCCGCTCTAATATAAATTTCTTGATAAAATCGATACAAAAATAAAAGTATGACCAATAATAGCAACGGAGAAAAACAGATTAAAAAGTTCGAAGCTTTTTATTCTTCTAACAAAGATATCACGAAAATATGGAACTGTAATTTGAAAACCGAGAAGTTTGTAAGAAAAACCAGAGATTCAAAACAAAAAGGATACTGTGTAATTAGTGTATTTTGTATTTTCTTTTACGCGTTTTTTTCCGAACGAGCGTAACGATTGCGAATCCCACTTACCTGTAAATCTTCCTCGGTGAGATTCACCCAAGCTTCATCGGATGTCAAACCAAAAAGTAAATCACGGTTGCCGAAGTCCGCAAATTCAGCACCGGGCCCGGGCATGATCGGCATTAGTCCCGAAGAAGAGGCAGTAGGCTGGAAATTCTGAACAAGGGATCTTCTTTTTCATGTTTAGTATAGTAACGCGCACATCAATAAGGTTCACTTTAATTCTCAATCTTCTCTATTCGCTCTCGCTTTCTCCATATCGTTGTTAAATAAATCTCTATCACTTAGGTACATCCCTCTATCACTTACAGCTAGTAATTTCTATTTAACGTCACATAAATTGACTTAGCCGTACGTTTTAAAGCGGAGACGACAAGGAGAGGCTTGACTGCTTTGTAATAAATCGTGGTTGCGATACCTACATGTACGTTCATCTCTCCCGATTTCGCATTTAATGTCGCGATATCGCGATGAGCTCGAGCAACCAGACACTATCAACGAATGAGTTAATGGAGCATATACGAAGTAGCTATTACGATTTTCGGATCCGTCATCCGTCAGTCGGCCGCTCTTTCAATTAGCAGATTCATCGTTTACCTTATCGTCTCGTTCGCTCTTGCGCAAAATCAATACGTCGACATTGAACTAATATCCGCATGCAATTACAACGTTCGCGAATTCTGTAATCACGTGGATGAAACGCCTGTCGCGATCCATGTTTATTTAACACCCGCCGTTATATTTATTTACATCGCGGTGGATTTTTCAACGTTTAAACGGCGGACGCGGAACAACACGCGTATATACTCTGCGAGAAAGATAGAGGATGTAAATGCAAATTTTATGAAAAATAGCTAACGTCAAAAGCGACTCTGAGTCGAAAGACTGCGCCGGACGTCCTAAAAACGTTCAAATAACATATTAGCGTGTCATTTACAAAAACCGCTAAAAAGTACCAATATATATTCATAGTAATTTTCGCCAACTTTATTCTCGGCTTAAAACGAATCTCTTCGTCTCTGTTTCTCTCTCTTTGGATGTGAGTATATCTAGACGTATCAAAAGAGAAAGAGATCGAATATTTTCTCTATTATTATATATGCATCTAATGTGTTTTTTTAATAGCAATTGCATGTAATGTTTACCTTATGTAATGATGTTTTATACCTAAAGCGGCGTCTACAATGAGATTTTAAAGCATAAAACTTAAGCGCCTTAAATCATAAAAAGTTGACTAATCACAGTTGAATGTGAGAAGGATAATTGACTATGATTGGTCAATTTTTTAGGCTGAGAAAAATATTTAGTTGAATTAACGAGAATTCTGAAAAATGAATAATTCAGAATACTGGTTAAGTACCAGATTTCTGACTAAATCGACTAGAGATTCTTGGTTAAATCTACTAGAAGTAGATTTAACCAAGGAAATTATGAATGTTGGTTATTTCAGTTAGAATTCTAATAAATCTAAGACCAGAATTCTAGACCGTTCATTTTCCACCAGAATTCCAGTTCATTCAACCAAACATTTTCTCCGAGTATGGCTTAAAGCTTAAGTTTTACATCTTAAACTGTCAATGTAAACGCTTTAGGGAACGTAATCCATCTACTAAATAACAATATTCTCTCTCTCTCTCTCTCTCTCTCTCTCTCTCTCTCTCTCTTTCTCTCTCTCTCCTAAATTATAAATTGAGAAACGGACAAACAGGATTGATTAAACTGCAATTAAGATTAATTAACGGCGTATTACGGTTAACAGCATAGTAAAACCGAAGCAATCAGGCAGAACAGATCGTAAAGCAAGTGGAAACGGCGCGCGTTACTGTTCTCCAGTCTCGAGATTATCGATTATCGGATCGAATCGTCTCACCTGATTGACTGTCGGTGGCAGAACAGTCCCATCGACGAAGGGTGCAAATCCGGAAGTAAATCTTGGCGGATCCAGCTGCACCGTCAGTAGCTCCTCCACGCTCTTTAAACGAAGGCACGGTGCGATATCGTCAACCTCGACGTCACCGGGACATTTGATCTTCTCGGCGACGCGACGCTTCACCGCCAGCGGATCTCGCTGTACCGCTTCAGCTCTAAAATATTCGTTGAAAACTCTCGCTAATTGCAACATAGTTAATAAAATGCGAGGAATGTTCGATAAATTTTTAATTATTATACAGACAGTAATATGTACATTGATGTTTTATTATTTGAAAATCCAATATTTCGCAAACAGGAAACTAGTCTCTTATTATTTTACTGTATATAAAAGCTTCTCCCATTTAAATGTTATTTAAGCCCTTTCTTCTTATTGGAGAATAGAACTTAGACACAATTATATTTATGAGATCGATAAATCAGCTTCAATTAGTATGTCTCTCTTTATAGACGGTTATATCGACATCAATCAGCGTTAAACGTGATTAAATCAATTTCCTTTGTAAGCAACTATAATTTACAACAGAACTGCAGTTTAATTAATATACTCAATTTCATTTATCATACGAATAAGCGAAAAAGAATTTCCAATTTTTTCTTAGAAACGTGACATAAAATAAATAATAAATACAAATTATTAAAAACCGTATCTCTCTGAACCAATAAATAAATAAAACGTACCGTGCGGATGTTGTAAAAAAAAAGTAACGTAAACAAATTCATGGCGTACGCTAGCAGCTCGTTTTTCTATACAAAATGGATATACCGCGTCAGCGGTAAATACAACCGACAGGACGTTAACCAACCCGAGTTGACTGACAACTGCAGCGTGCGCAACCGATCGGCCGCACAAGCCACGAAACAATTAAACTCCTTACCTTTCGCCATAGGAGAGACGGCTAAAAAATTGGCGAGAGCCGCCCCGGTGCCGTGGCCCAGCAACGCCAGTCGCTCAGGATCGCCACCGAAAGCCCCGAGGTTCTCGCGCAGCCAATGAAGCCCCGCCACCAGATCCATCAATCCATAATTGCCCTGCGCGCTCCCTTTCGAACCGGTTTTCAGGAAGCCTGTAGTTTTCAACGAATTAGGAAACTGAAGTTTACACGAATTAGGAAACCGGCTTATCTACGCCCGGCCGAACGGAGCGACGAAGATGTTCAAACATTTGACGCCGCTAATTCTCAAGAGTTTCTACGAAGAATACAAGCAGAATATCCCGCGAAACATCGTAACGTATACTCTTGTTATTTCGGAGAACGAAAAGTGGAAAAGTCGCCGAGAAAGAGAGAACTTTGGTTGGAAGATCCATTCAAACATTTCCGGTTGCCTCCTCCCTGTTTCGAGGAGGCTTCTTCCTACACTTCCCATCGTCCTACTTACGCGCAAACCTCGGCGATGAAAACTCTGTTATGTTAATCACAAACTTTCGCTAAACTCGGGTACGCTCACTTTTAGTATCTGCTTGAACAGAAAGGATTGTCTAAGTTAATTAATTATAAGTTAGTTATCGTTGCGAAGACGAAAGTCGGGATATATTCACACACGTGAGTATATACAGACGTACAGCTATTGTAGCGGCGAGCTGTACACGGAGAATAAACCGGATTAAAATTAAATATTTGCTCGTCGGTACTCAATTCCGCCCGCTTCAATTTGCTACCGACGGGCTTGTCACTTTGCTTCGCTATCTGCCTGCAAGGTGAGTTTTCCATTTCAATCCGATTCGCGCGCGCCTTTTAATCACATTCACATATCTACTCACTGTATTGGTACCAAATTCTAATTATGCTAGTATTTAGCGTCAGAAAAATATCATAGAGTAATGACTCGAATAATACGGAATGAATGTTTTTGCTATTATTCATACAAAACAGATTTTTTTTGCATAAAATACGCAAATGTTTTTAATCCTTATAATTGTCCAGTTTTACTTTTGCCCATCGAGTTTTTTATTTGTTCTACAGAGAATACAGCAATTTGCAATACGTTACACTATATACGATAGAAGATATATTTAATATTATTTAACATGATGGTTCGATCGGAAATTTATTTATGTCATAAGTGGCGTGAAACCCGTAAATGGTGCGAAACAGTGAAAAAGCACGAGTAATAAGTGGAATAACAAGAAAAAAGACGGAAGAAAATCGAATCGGTTGGCCATGCGGTATTGGATAACGCCGCAGGCATTGTTTCGCTTCAACGATGAACAAAACGCATACGGAACTGCAGGCTACCGACAAAGAGAAGCGCGAAACCAGCCCCGGTATGGTGAAAATACGGCGTATCGATATCGAAAATTGTTCCACTGATTGCCCCCGGACTTCTTTCATGAATGGAGGATACGGTGTTGTAAACACGCTTGCATACCTTCCGAATAATACGTTGTTTATCGCTTTATCCGCGATTAGATGCACTCGTACCTCTAAATATCGCAGCTGCAAATAGTGCAAAAAAATAAATACAGATTACGCCATTGTGGGTGGTGCATTCCCACGATAATAAAACGTGATATGAAAACTGTGGAAACGCGCATACGGAGGTATAATACATTTTTAATTAACACAAAATTGCAGAGGCTGCCAGCATCGTGAAGAGAGACTCGGATGCCCAGATAAAATCCATATTTTACGAATTAACTAAATAAAAAATTAGCTTTATCCGGGAACAACGTAAATTCACCGGCGAGACGATATCCGTTCCAACTCCTCACGCTGAACGAATATCGATTACACCTCACAGCCATTCTTACCGTGCTCCAGTTTAAATTGTGCGTATAATATTTAGCAGATGCTGAAAAGCCGATCTCGTATGTACAACAAACGAGCGCGAAAATCCATTCGCATGAAAACACCTTTAGCCTTACGTGTCCCCTTCTTCGTCCCCATTAAACTCCCTTTGTTTCTTCCCCCTTTGTTCCCGCGCGTTTTTAATTTTGGCACACGTATATGTGACCCCCTCCCCCCTCTTTCTCTCTTTCTTTCTCTCGTGCGCACGAAAACTCATTCTGCATTTCTTGTAACTCCTGTTTCCTATATTTAAGTTTGACGTTGTGTTTTTAAAGAGTTACAACTATCGTAGAAATAACAACCTCCGGAGAGAAGAATTTCCATATATAACTGCGAAGAAAGTAATCTGGTAAGATCTCGACAAACTTTTCCTCCTAGCTGCCACGAATAATGAGATCATTCCTTTAACTCTGTCGAAAGAACAAAAGAGCTAGTCGGGCTGTGTAATAAACAAAGCGTGGCAAACTCGGCGCACTTTATAACGCGGAAACTTTCTATCAGTTCTTGCGCACAAAATAGTAATGCAAATGCCTGATTATCGTATTATGTTCGAAATAATAATTTCTTAGCAGAGAATGCGCACATTTATTGGGTATTGATCAATATGTCCAATTGTCAGTCACCGATAAACGCTCATTACCTGAAAAAATAATTGTTACGATTGTACGATACTTTATAACGAAACACGTCAGTTCAAAAATATTTTATTCTATTGTTAAATATTATCGCTGGCACAAAAATAAATTATAACGAATGAGGAGAATAAGAGAAAATTTCTTTAGTTTTTTTTTTTTATTTTGAGACAAAGAAACGAGCAATATTTCTTTAAAAGATGCTCTGCTTCATCTTCCCGCAAACAATTATGACATACGCGAACGTAGTCAAATAAAATTTATAAAATAATCGCAAACGCTTGCAAAGCGTGTCCCACTTTCCGATACGATGCGGGCGTGGCAAAAAGGAACGGTCTGTTTCAATGAACAAGTATTGCAGAGCTTACCAAGCACACCAAGACGAAAATTGATAGAGACGACAATAAGGCGTCCGTGAGCAGCCAGGGCAGTTCCGTCAAATGAATTTCCGGTGCCCCACGAATATGAATCGCCATGAATAAGGAGGAGAGCCGGTAGCGAGTCCGCGATACTACCTGCAACATTAGAGAACATTCTACCACATCTCTCTGCAAACACAAAGTACATATATATGTAATAGAAATACAGAGACAAATATATAGACAAGAATACTCATATCACATTATCAAAATGTATTTGTATCATTACACAGTAATCGTATCAAGCAAGACATTGATTGAATGTTTGTAATCTCCTTAATTATTCTCGATGATAAATATTTTATTTTACTGAAATTACAATTCTTTTTAGAAAATTGCAATCTCTTCTCCGATCTTAATACATTCTCTTATCAATATGAGATCATACAGGTATGTATACAGAACTAATCCTATTGTAATATAATGAGTGATATAAACACGGTTAAGTACCTTCTACAAATTGGTGTGGCCAGATAAAAGTGTCGAAATAACTGGCTAAGAGCGGCTTTAGATTTCCATAAAATCTCGTGACTAAAATCACGTGAGCTTATATGAGCTAATAGCCCGTGATTTATAAAATATGCGTTATGAATCCATGATAACATTACATAATCTTGAACTTCATCAACTAAATATCGCATTTAATGTTTCACAAAAAAATTGTACAAATGTATTTAACAATTAAATACAGACAGTGTTTATAAAAAGAATATCAATGTAAATATTATCCATCACTGATCATTAAAATATAAATATATATATATATATACTTTTGATTTTCGCTCCATGAATGTTTCAAACTTCAATCACATAAATGTGGAATATTTACATTCATATTTGTAATAATTATAACAATAAATCTTTATAATTAACATATTTTTAATTATATTTTAATACACATATTACGTATATTTTTTAAATTAATAAGCAATTAAATATTTAACTTACGATTTTCAATATAAAAATATATTTTACATATAAAAACATGTTAGTTTGGCAAGTGCGATTTTAAACGATTCAAATATTGTAAATTATTAGGCGTTTAGCTACTTGAGTGAAAGATGTCGATTTATACGTAAATCTTGAAGGGAGACTTTCCATAAAATCTGCATTTTACTCCCTCTTAGCAGGGTAATGCAGCTGTCTCTATCAATCGCGACGTCAAATTCCATGTAATGCGCAACGGCGATCGAAATATAATCATCCCTGGAACGAACTATCATGCCGAGTTAAGTGATGGCAAGGTGAGACACCTGTTGCGATCCTGATAGCGCACGCTAGACGACAGATAGTTAAGTAGGTGAACGAGTAGGCGAACGAGACATCTTCCGTGATTTCGTTGTGCGTATTTTTTCATTGGGAGCCGTGAAAACTTGTTCCTACCCAGCCGCCTGTTTGCGATCATATTTCAAAACGTTTACGAGCGACTCGGTACTTTTATTGCTTTCTCAGTATCGACTCATTTTTGTCGTGCTTGGAAATTCATAAATTATAGATTCTTTTTTATAAATGAAAAGTACTAAAGAAGATATATTTGCTATAAGTTTAATTATTTACTAGGTTATTATGGGTCTTCTATCGCTGCTCTCTTAATATATTTAGGAATAACTGGAAAATAGAAATAATTCAATTCTATTTCCAGTCGTGTCACTATATATTAATTAATTAATTTTAGTAATACAATTCTCAGTTAAAATTTTATAATCTAATTCTCTGTAGATTTCTCACAATTAGATCAATTTAAGAATAATATTTTCCACTTGCTATATTCAAGAAGATTATTTCCTACAGCTAAATATTTTGCTAAACTTGTTAATGTTCATACATCAGTTAAAGTATTTTACACTCTTGTTTGTATATTGATAAAACTTTTAAGAAAAAGTGTTTGCTTTTCATTTTTTATATTTTTTTTAGAACGATTGTAGCAAGAGTATAATCTTCTATCACGAGCTATGGGTGAAATTCTGGTACGTACCTACGAAGTATACCTATGTATAGTGCCCGAGCTTCTACACATTACGTTCCAACTCAGCGTGTAACGTGATTATGTAACATGTTGGGAAAAGGAGAAAGGGATAGATACGAGGGACCAATAAATTCATAAGCAAGTTAGTAGAGATTCGGAAATGAGGAAGCTTTTTGAACAACCCGACATATATCAGGTACCAAAGTTCTTAATGCGAAAAGGTCGTTATCTCAAAATCTTAACGAGAGATCACGAAGTCGTTATCGTGAAGCAATTTTAAAGCATTCCAACATGTTCTTGTACACTAAAAGATATAAAGGTTATATATATGTTATATACACTCTGACAAAAAAAGTTACGCACAGATCTAAACGTTGGGAGTTTTCTCGTTAACGATGATAGATACAGTTTCGACACGTAGAACCCCTCTAATAGGTCTCGTCGAGAGAAATCGAAATAGTTCTGTGGCATTTTGTCGTATCTGTCACTGTTTCCGAAATAACAGCCTTTCTTTTTGTCTAGACCTGTGCATAACTTTTTTGTCAAAGAGTATATCTCCTTTAATTCAGTTCTATGTACATATTACATACGCCAGATGACATGAAACAAAAATATTCTAGATTTTGTTTTAGTTAATTTCCTGTCATTTTCTTAACTATAATTTTATAGAAAATCTGTAAAAATTGAAAGAATCTTCGGAATCGGACTTACTTAAATAAATAGTTTCCTACAGTCTTTTTTTCCCTAGACAGTTTAAATGCGCATGGTTAAAAACCTTGGTAAAGTTAGACAGTTAATTAAAGTTTCCATCAGTTCCTCCAGATTACGTTCATTGTACAACCACTACAGATAACGATCGATTTTTGACCACGGTCTTAAGTGCGAACAGATTAAAGAATCGATTCTAACGCGCATATATGTCGGTGCTTGTCGAAGTCCTCTTCATTATCGTATCCTCTCTCTAGATTAATGTCGCAACGGCCAGACAAGAAGAACGTCGATCCGATACGAAGCTACCTCACTCCCGCGGTGCTTGCAGGTTCTCTCACGTGAATCAAATAATCGACTGCAATGCACTACGGAATTGAGGATGCAACGCATCCTTACACTTGCATTCCTTTACATAGTCCTCTCTCTCTCTCTCCCTCTTTCTCTCTGTTTTCCGTTCTACTCAAGGAGCTCCTTTCGCTTTATCTTGTCCTTTCAATATCTCGGATCCCTTCGGCCCGCTTCATTTCTTCTCGTATGCAGCATCGGCCTCGCCATTGTGCTGCCGAGACACCCTGGTTTCTCATCATTTCCCCGATAAAAGTGCGCTTTATTCTTTCATTCTTCTTCACAGCGACGAATTCCTCACGCGAGGCACGCCAATACGCACAAAGCCGGGGGATGCTCGCTGCTCGATCGGGGAAACGACAGCCGAATGAATTCGCGAGCGAACGCCCCCGCTCGTCCCTGTGTCCCGAATATTATTTTCACGTGATCTTCACATTCACCGACACTCGGAGTGTTTCTCTGTGTCTGTGTCTATGTCTGTGTCGAAGTACATCGCCGTAGAGTATTGTATTAAATCTACCTATATCAAATTTTTCCGCGAGTTATCGCGTCACAAAGAATAACGTTCGCTTGCAAGCGGCTGAATGAAAGATGATCGGTATATGCAAAGCGTAGTTAAATTTAACAATATAAAGAAGAAAATATCGCACATTCAAGAATATTTTACAATGAAAATTACATAAAAAGAAAAATTATTAAATGATAAAAGAAAAACATTCGCTGCTTGTTTTTATATATTATACGCTGTGAATATAACAAAGCATACTGTTGATTATCACGAAATATAAAAAGTCAGTATGTACTTAAACAACATATTTAGCGTCTGTAACAATTTTATTTTTCATACCGTAATATAAAATATTATATTAAATAATCTTACATTAAATAAGTAAAACTTATTATCACATAAATTTAAATTAATCGCAGATTATAGGTACTTTTCTGTTCGTGACATATTCACAGATAATATCTTTTTTACATCATAATTATATTAAATAAAATTCTTATATATTTGATATATAAAACCTACGACGAAATTATTTAAATTAATCGCAGATTATTTTCAATTCATAATATATCCATGGATAATGCACTCAGAGGAAGGTTTCTTCGATTCAAAGAAATGTTTCTTTGCTATACAGTTAAAGAAAAAATTTCTTTGATTTGAACGTCATTTCTTTGATTTGAAAATAATTTTTTAATCGTATAGAGCAAAGAAACATTTCTTTGAATCGAAGAAACCTTTCTCTAGGTGTGTCTTGTTGTTATTATAACTATTGTTATACCATAATTGTTATATCATAATTAAATATAATTCTCATATTATTAAATAAATAAAACTTATAATCACGCGTTTAAATTAATCGCAGATTATAGTTATTTTCAGTTTGCTGTCATATCCATGAATGATATCATAAGCATTCTCAGAATGAAGCATCGTCCAGAGTTACGAGCCATCGTCGTCGCCGTTGCATAATAACAGATGTAGGATAAAAGTAATTTCGCGACGATGATCCAAGACGAAAGAGCTCTCAATCTGTCGAATAAATGCAATACCGCTAAAATAAGCACGGATTCCCCTTGGTATATGATATATCACGCATTCCTCCTTGCGCAATCTACGTATTACTCGTAACTTCGTATGATTCCATATTCTATCTAACGTGAAGCTTCTATTCCAGCTGTTTCGGATTATACTTTTATTATAATATCGTATCGGAAAAGAATTTTTAATATAAATGCGAGATCAAAATTGAAAACTTCAAACTAGAAAATCATCGGTTTCTTCATTTATTTCTGCACGAGTTCGGGCAGAATTAAAGTAACGTTGTTAACTCCTAATCGTAAGCACCACATTGTGCAATCGAGATTGAGAAACGGCTCTCTCTTTCTCTCTCGCATTTAAATTCCGCAAAGATATTACAGTCGCGTTTCAATAACACGGGTGCGCCACAGCGAAGGAATTCAAACTCTCGTCTGAATTTTCTGCGACGATATCCAGAGATGAAAGATCGAAAACTAAGCTGCTTACGCGCGAGTAGAGATGATAGTGATGGTGATGGTGCTGCTGCTGCTGCACACCCCCATGCGTTGTCAGTGAGAGACAAGCAAGAGAAAAAGCGCTCTGGAAAAAGTAACAAGAGGATTCAACGCGATAGCAAAGGAAGCAACGACGGCTCGTTCTTTTTAATCCGACTGAAACGTCGGGTAGTTACGGCTTTTTATTCGACAGCATAATAGCGGCCTTCCTGCGAGAGATCCCATAAAACAAAGAAAAAATGGAAAATTCACAAGTGGATAGCGCACAGTGGATCGCGTATCGCGAGATTCACAACGTCTCTCATACGTGCTCTATCTCCGACTGATCGCACCTTACGAAGCTGTTAATGCTTTTAATTAATCCTGCATTCGCGTTATCTCGAGCGGAAGAATTTATTTTTCATAAAGATTTATATCCCTCTTATTAATATATGGCGAACAAATTCTTTCTCCGAGAAAGAAATTTTCTTTGGTATACGTGATATCTCCGTGCTCTCTTATCCAAAATTGAAATAGACATATTTATCTTAAAGCGCAGCAAAGCCAAACTGTTCAAGAGAATCGAACCAGGTCAGACCTTTATACACACAACCGGGAATATTACAGAATTCAACAAATCCCGCCGATCCCTATCTGAAAATTTATCGCGGGATGCAGTCCCGTTCTGTTGATCTCCATATCTGTGATCCGTATATTGGTTCGCGTTTACACTTCATCTGAAAGTCTCTCGCTGTATTCGCAATCAGAAAAGCGTCTCCGCGAGCGATCGATCCGCTCTTTTGTTACAGACACCCGTTCCCGCTCTATCCCCAATCCCCACACTAAAAGCTGCAAGGAAGCGATGGTAGGGGAAAGGGGTAAAAAGGTAGGAGTGTGGAGGAGTAGAAGAGTTTTCTTGCGAAGAAGACTAGCATCGCGACAGCCACGCGAAATCGCGACCACTATAAAGTCGCCGCATCGAGCTCTCAGCTCTCGGCTGCGCGGAGTACGATATTTCTTTTTCTCTATCTCCCTACCGCCTTCCACCCCTTTGACTGTACTCCGCATTGAAATTAGCTCTAACCAAAGGTATAGAGCATGGACCACGCCATCCGTATCTAAATAGAATATCTGACGTGTGATCAATAAAAATGAAAGAGAAGAGAAGCGTGAAAATAGCCAATTTCCCTCTCTTTCTAACAAAATTACACCGTTGAATAGAAAGAGACAGAGACTAGTTAGTTATTCTTCGCGTTTTATTTCTTTCATTTTTGTCGACAATTGTACACATGGATTGCATCGTTCATGCTCTGTGTCTTTGGCTCTAACAATCTGCCAGAAATCATGGTCGGTGAAATTATTGCTCACAGTCGCTATAATCTTCTTGCGTTCTCTTTGCATTTCATATTTCAACTGTACTAGATGCATGAATAATCAAAAAGGATGGGATGAGAAAGAGGGATGAAAGATATACGCTAATCAGTGATATCGCGTAATATCGCACATGGATCATTCATGAGATAACCTTATACTGTTGGATAAATTTAAAGGACTCCTTCTCTCAACTCTCTGTATTTTTCACGAGCAAGAAGCTTAAGCAAGCAATTAAGGTCAACACGTCTCTCTCAGCGCAGAAAAGTTCATCCAAATTCCAAATGTGAGCGATAGCACTTACAAGGTTCTTTGTGATGTAATACAGACGAAAAAAAGATAATAATTTCTAGATGGATAATTCTACTTTCATGAGAGCTCATTACACCTCGTTGTTTGGACTTTCTGTCGAATTACCGTCGTCGTGTACAATACGTGTAGTTTCATGTCCAGCGAGAGAGGAAGAGCAGATCGCACTGTAAATAGAACGCTCGTCGGAATCGGCTAAACGTAATTTCAACGGAAGCGGAACATCATTTGCGAAACTCTGTGAATATCTAACAGGCCCGTATTCGTCTGACGAAGAAAAAAGTTGGCGAGCCAGCGCGCGCATGCATACCTACATATGTATCTACTTGTCGCGCAGAATTATACGCGCGCGATGTCATTGTCACGTGTCGTAATGCACCGATGCTGCATTCCCGAATGCTCCGATAATCAGATTATCACGAAATGAAATTGCACGCCTCTCCCTCCCCTCCCCCCTTGGTGGTTGGCAACACGCTTTCGACGAAGTTGAGCAATCTACCTAAAATTGGACGGTGTTTCGAAACAGAGTCTCCGCGAAAATATCACCAAACTTTTACGTCGTAAGATACATTCCGAAAAGTTCAGCTTATGTTTCCGTGGCGAATTTTGTATTCGACAATGGACCGTATGGTGCACGGAACAAGATTTTCCAAACAGTGCATCGCAAGAGCTTTACGTATTTTCACGTATTTTTCACGAGAATTTTGTTTAGGATTTAGAATACCAGTGTTTCTATCTCAAACAAACAGAAGATACAAGTCCTATGGAACATAGATATCTGAAATATTGTTACAAGCTTTTTTAACATTATTTTCTAAAAAAGAAAATGTACTGCAGTGTTGACGGAAACATTTTCACAATCGTTTCTTTAATCCTTAATTTACAGAATTTTTTTATCATAAAATTGTTGAGAATTGTTTCATATCTTTTAAAAAATTATAAAAAAAGTTCATTTTCTAGAAAGCACAAAGAATATTCGAGAGCAACAATATAATTTTATAAATCGTATTATTATTTTATCCAATTATTACTCCTATAATATATATGTATTAAAAAAGTACTTACAATTTAAAATAAACCGATGAGAATAAATCTAATTAAATAAGAGAAATTCAATTTTTTCGATCAAAATATATTTCAGTGCTTAAATATTTCTATGTGAATTTTTATATTAGATATATATATATATAAATATAGAATATTTAAAAAAAGTAATGTATAATATATAAAAAGTATCCTAAATATATACACGTATAATATAAATAAAAATTACATTTATAGTAAAATTAATTTATCAAAAAATAGAATCCTTTCTAAAACAACCATTACCAACAAAGTGCTTTAACATATTGGCTGCGTTCAGCAGAGAAAACAGTTTTGCAACTGTTGTAAAATTCTTCAATATGATTGGTTTATACATTTAAAGCCATAAGGAATCAAAAACAAAAACCAACCATGTTGAAGAATTTTACAACAATAGTTGCAAAACTACTTTCTCTGCTGAATGCAGTCATTCTATATTCAAGCAACATTTTTCCTTCACTCAGTAAATAAAAAACATCTTGAAACATTCCAGCAACATTGTAACGTTGCTGCAATGTTACTGGAATGTTTCAAGATGTTTCTTGCTGATTAGGCAGTACGAACATTCTTTAGGATAACGTCCGACTTACCGTGAGGAGCTTTGGGCACATAGAGGTTCAAATACAAGCAGTCTTCGCTCTGGTTGGCCAGTACTGGCACCAGCCTCTTGAGGTAGGCCTGTCTCTGTCGCGGCAAGCTCTCGTCCAGTACCGGTGGCCGCTGGGGGCAGGCCGGCGGCATGGTATCGGCGAACTTGATACCGCGCCAGGGTGTCGGGGTAACCGGTGGCATGTAACGCAACGCGCCGAGCGGCGGCGTCGCGTACGGCACGCCGTAATAAGTTTCGACGGCCGTCGACGATCTAGCTTCAATGCCGCGCAAAGTACCGTATCGCGTCTTAATTGTTCTGGTACAATACTTTTGAGTGCCGGCCAGAGCTTCGGTACCTGCCAGGCAGCACTGGGCGCAGAGAAGCGCCAGCAGGAAGACGCTTTTCGCGATACCGCCATCGGATGGGACTCTTCGAAGAGTCCCCTTACTCGCGATATCCTTCGCACTTCGTCGTCGTCTTTCTTGTTTATTTTCTTCGTCGTCACTACCCTTGTCGCATTTGCCTCCTTTCCGCTTACTTCGTTCACAGCATCGTTCACCGGAAATCCCGTTTGTTTGGCGATTCCACAGCTTCCCAGGAACCTCATGACACGTCGAGCAAACATCCTGTCCCCGGTGAAGAATATCATGCCGCGTTCGATACGATACGATAATATCGAGCTGCGGAAGACAGTGCTGTCGAAAGACATGTTTAACTGACGGTCGCCAGTCGCCGGTGAGAAGGACGGTGTCGGGAGGCGAGAGGTCTTTCCTCTTCCTCTTCCTCGGCAAAGAGGAGGAGGACGTCCGCATCGCGTCACGCCGCCGCGGACTGGCCCCTGCGGGCCCCGCATCTGTGGGGCCCTCCTGCCGATGGACGACCCCTTTCTTCTTCCGCTTCCGATTTCCGCTTTCCTTTCCCGTTCACCGCCGTCGCCGCCTTCTTGCCTGTCCTTCGGCCCTCCGTCCTCGCCGCCGCTGCCGCTGGCAATTTTTTGCGCTTACCCTCCTGTACCCCTTTCCGCACTGCCGCCGCCGCCGCCACCACCACCCTTATCCCGTCGCTACCGTCCACCCACTCCCACAGCTTCCGGTACGGCTTGCCGCCCCCTCCAATCCCGCACCCTCCAAGCGGTTTACGCTCCTCGTCCGCCGTTTCGAATTCAGAATAGCGACTCGGTACTACTATCGCGCTGCTGCTGCTGCTGCTGCTGCTTCTGCTGCTGATTGGCTCCGAGCAAACTCTCACTTCCATTCTCAAGTGCATACGTTGCCCGCGTTGACGCTGAGCTGCCAATCTGGCGACTGATCGTCGACGCTTCGGTGACGATCGACGAGCTCGAATCGTCGGCAGTGAATGATCCTGATGGAATCATCGGCGCCCAGAGTACGATGGTTCGATGCACCGCCCTCGCCGACTCGCGCGGAATCCTCAACGTTCTCGTCGCATGTACTACGAATCCTTTCGGGAAAGGAGAATCATTCGACGACGATTCTTCGATCCTCGAGTTTCTGTTTGTTGGTCTCGCCGGAAACCACCTGCTTTCATCTCGCGTCCTCAACACGCTGCAACAACATGTAAAGGACGCTTCGTTACGTGGTTTCTCTGAAAATTAATTTCACGTTAAATTTAATTAACTCGATGACAGTCGCATAAGTATAAATTTATAAACTTCGGAAAGACCTCCCTCGCATGTACAATTCAAAATTTTACGAAAGCAGACAGCTGTTCCTCGTACCCGAGTAATGGCGCGTAAATTGCTACTGTCTGCCCAGTGAACTGGAAAAATGTATGCTCGATATACTTTCGAGGGGACGATCGTGCGTGAAGCATGTATACCCTCAACGACGTCCTTTTCGCACCCCTGTCCTAATCCTCCATCAGTTCAGCAAATTTCGAACATTCTTTATCCTCTACATTTTCTATAACCATTTATTCTTTATTTTATCGATTGTTCTAAAAATATACTTGTTTTGGGCGTGTGTATTTCTCCAGTAAATAAATCCGCATCTAAATAAATGGAATATTCGAATTTTAGTTTATTGATTTTTGCTAGTAACGCTACATAATTTCGAAAGCTGCTCTGCTTTTTCTGTTTGTTATAAAATAACGAGAAATGAAGTAGATATTTTGTTCTCCAATCTAGGATAATATATATTTCCATATATTATTGCGGTGAAAACTGACCCCATTGTGGTAATAGTACAAATTTGACCGTTCCGATTGAGTATTAATATGCAGATGTATGCATCGACCCTTCGGATCGAATTTTCGGGAATTCAGCGACGCTGGACTTGAAATTTACGTTCGTTAAATCAGTAATTAATATACATTACGGCGGAATCCAGTTGTGAAAAATCGAATCGCACGGCTAGTCGCCCGACAAAATCTAATTAATTGCAATGACGATGTAGTTTGATTCGAATGAGTTGCTCAAACTGCTCGAATAACGCGAAATCCGATAGCATTCAACTGTGGCTATGCGAGAATTTCCAATTTCCAACTTGAGGTAAACTGTACTCTATCCCTGGCCCTCGGTGTATTTGACACTATAGCTTTAGAAACGTTTCAACTCCTCTCCCCCTTGTTCGGAGAGAGAAAGCAGCCTGCGCTTAAATTATCACGAAGCTTCAGTTACGCCTGCCTTTTTTCAAACGCCAAGCGAAATAGTGAGCTGCGAAGGTCCACCTATGTGGCGAAAGCGACGTAAGTAGTTTCCGTATGTCGTCGAGCGTGCAATTGTTAAGTCAAGTCATATAAACGCAGACTTTTCTTGCACTTGCTACTTTTACTTTTTGAAACTTCTGATAAACGTGCCGAAGTAAGAAGTATACCATCTACTTTCTTGTGACAATGACAAATAAGTGTTATTATACTTATGAAATACATAAAGAGGACATAAATGCGTACCAAAAATTAAAATTAAGCATCTTATTTAATATTTCAGTATTTTTTATCCATTTAATTTTTCATTCATTTAAAGAAATATTTAAAGAAATATTTAAAGAAATACAAAAATCGTCCATCAAAGAGATTAATATAAATCATAACTGCCATAATATTTCCCGTGTCATTTATTAGTGTGTTATTCGGATCTATCTGTGAAAGAAACTTTAGAATTATGAAAGCAAAGTTCGCTGAAATATAAATGGCGCGCTACATAAATGTCTATTTATGTAAAAGTTCAAATGCTAATTATATACAATATTATATCCATAATTTAAATGTTATACAAAATTTGATTAATTTAATGTTTTCTTAACGTGATAACTCACACGTTTACATTTACAGCAAATACGAATTTTTTTTCTCGCGCTCCTTTCATTCGGAGGGAACGTGCTATAGTTTGAAGCAAGTATTCCCGATTCTCAAGTTAGTCTGACTTGTCTCCTAAGTACTTTGCAGATCGGATTCCCCAAGGGTTTTTCGACAGAGCTGCGCGATGTCGACGCAACCTTGCAAGTTCAAAAAGAGGAGCAAACTATCATTGGATTACGCTTCGATTTCGCGCCATTCAAGCGAACAAGCAAAAACGAGATGCCAAAGCTGAATCATATAAGCGCGACAATCTGGTCTGGCGAGCGAAATTAAATTCCGAAGTCCGCGCTAATTGCAGCAGGAAGAAGGGAGGGGATGACCGGACGATTAATAATTCACCGACGGGGGAGATAAGTTCGAAGTTTCCAGACCCACGAGAAGAATCTACGAGAAATTATTGAGGCAGCAACGGTAACGTGAAAGGAAGAACGGATCCTTAGCGAAAAACGCCGATATATTATCGCGGAAATTGCGCGAGTGCCGGCGTGACATTTTTGCACGGATCAACGAGAGCGCATCCTGCAAGAAATGGATGAGTCAAAGAGAATTGATGGTGATCCATTTTACAAAATTACGAACCCCCAATCTTCGAAATTGAAGCTTAGCTTCATAATCATTCCCTCTCTCAATTCGTTTCTATCATACTCTATCTTTATAATAATTTTACCTGACATGCGAAACATGGCCGGAATTTAAATATACATTATGAAAATAGAAAAAGAAAGAAATAAGAGAATTCAAACACTTCAATGAAAAAACTGATTTCTAACAATGGAGATGTATTTAAAAAATGCACTACTTTAAAATACAATTTGGTTGTTAGATCTATCATCAAATTACTACAAAGTCTTTACATATGATAAAAAATATTTTATCCAATAACTAAATTAGAAATGATTAAAATATTCAAATAGTATTTCATGTATTAATTATTACGTGTGATAAAAAATCCTGTTCAGTATTTATAATCATCCATAAAAAAACGCACTATTGTAACGTTATAGTGCCTCGGTTTTTTTGAGTGAGTGAGTGCATTTATATTTTAACTTTATCTTAATTATAACTGATACTTATTCGCATTCTGTAATAAAATTATATGCTTAAATTCAAAGGCTGTAATCATTATCTGTAAAAAAATTGAGTAAAATAATTAAAATAACAAGAATGTATTAAGAATCGCATAAAATAAATGTACGTGTTCTAGTAAATGTAAATTTTTCTAAATATTAATTATTTACATTTTCTGTAAATAATATTTAATATGGCATTCAATTAATATATATTTAATAATCCTGAATATTCAATCTTCAAAAAAGTAGTCTACAAAATCTGGAAAAACTAAGACTTATGACGTTTTTTTCGCGATAATAATTGACGGAAGTCTATGACGTAGTTGCCATTGTTGGTATAATTTTACTCTTCCCTACAATATATGTATACGCGACAAACTCATATTGATCGAAAACGATGCGCGGATTTCTTCAAATCTCGAAGTTATCATCGATAATGTTTCGATGCCATATGTTTCAGATTCGTTGAATAACCAGAAAAATAAAGTTTACAAAAGCAACTCAATTATTCACATTGAATACGTGTTTTTACTGGGTGAGATAATGACATTCGTTTAACTTATGAATTATTGAGCAGGAACATTGCATTATTTACAGGATAATCCCAAAAAATGTGAGGAACGCACCGAAAAACATCCAACTCCTTATCTAGTGTCGTCTCCTCGTATCACATAGTGCATAATGAAATTCACTCAGGTATTCTCGGTCAGATAACTTCCGTATTGGTCCAAATAATTTCGATTCTATCGCTCCGGCACCACACGCACCAGCACGTAGCGCTTCGATCCATTCGACGTGGCTCGCATCACGTTAAGGGTCCGGAGTTGACGTTACGCTCTTGAGAACAATGCCGATTACGCATCCAAATCGCTCGAAGCGTCGTCAAGCCGCGATTGAAGCGGGCGCCTAGATAATTGCCGATTTAGATTCACATACTCTCCGCTTAAGCACTTTTTCGCCAGCTGTTGAATCGCGACGCGACGACGATCCGTCGCGAGTGGACTGCATGCAAGAGCGAGACTGCCGAACCACCGAAACCAACCAAAACCGTACCAACAATCAACCCCCAGGACGACCCGCACCCTTCGTGTGCGCGATCGACTGTATCCCGGGCACTACTAACGCGTTGAGGGCTAGCAGCCGTGCGACCTCCGCGGAGGTGGCGGTGCTGGTGCCTGCTGCTCTCGCCGCTGATGGTAGTGATGGTGGTGGCGGCGATGGTGGTGGCGGTGGCGGCGGCGGTGATGGTGGTGGAGGTGGAGGATGGTCCGGCACTCGAGGAAGCCGGGACAGTCACGGCGCCGACGCCTGGTTTGATTCCGACCAGCGGCCGGGTCGATAGCACCACGGCAACCCCCGGGTCGTTCCGGCTTTCCTCTCCCTCTCTCTCTCTTTCTCTACATTTCTATCCTCTTCTACCATCCCTCTCGCCGCTTCTGCCACCCCCACATCGGAAGCCTTCTATCCTGCTTCTTCCTCGGGTATGCGCAGCATCTTTTCTCCGGCCGCCGCT